TTATTTTATTAATTTTATTTGACTCATTATTACATACATAATAGATAGTAATTCTTGATTCCATCACGCAAGGTTTACGATAAATACATACGTTACAAGTGGCCTACATATAAGAAGAATATCGATACTGTACGTCTGCTAATTTACATCTGCTTACTTACGTTAGTTTCAAAACGGTTGATTGAACAGACAAAACAATTGAAACATCAAACACGAAAAGTTACTTATCGTTACAGAGAGAGAGAGAGTGTGTGTGTCTGTGTATGTGTGTGTGTTTTTCAAATATACCTATTTATGCACTTATGTGTATATTAAACAATTACAAAGGCTCCTTTACAAATACGACGGGTATCCAATATTTACATATACCTACGTTATTACCTCTGTTACCGCTATAATTTACAAAATAACGCAGCGAACTTCGAAAATTATAAGAATCCTCTGTAATATCGAGTTGATATATTTTTTAAAAATTGTCCAATTCTCCGTAGCACGGTAAATATGTACGATTAGAAACAAAATAATGGCAAGTGAGAAAACCGTTTGCAATATTATTCTTGTTTGGTTGTTGTTCCCTAATACAATTGGCACTTGATGGTCAGAACGTGGAGAGTGAAATAATACAGGAAATTGTAAGGTAAGTAAATCATGGGACGAAGCGTTACATTTCGTTTTCTTTTCGTTTAAGGACGGTTCGACAGTTATCGAGAGATCAACAGAAACGGGCAGCGTTGAATAAACATAGATTTTTCGGATCACGTCCCTTACCAGACGTCCTGTTACTCGAGTTCGAAATCGCAGTAAACGGTTAATAATTATCCTTTAACTTTCCTTCCTCTCGATGTTGGTCAAGCGAGCTTACGCGAACCAACACTCAATACTTTGCTCGAACTATACTACGCTACTTGTAATTAAGTACGCGACGAATTTCAATCGTGGCGTCAGTTGAATCGACAGGGGAGGTCGGATTAAGTAAGATAATAAACGTGTTTTCGGGTTCATGGTTATATGTGCAAATTTTATAACGCAAAACCAACTATACAGGGTGTCCCTTCTGGGACCAGAAAATGTGTTTGAGCCGAAGAGAGGTGATTCTATAAATGTTTGAGCGATTAAAAACGATGCGTCACTTTGCATTTTACCAAAGGAAATTGTTATTCAGAAACACCTCCAGAATCACCCCTTTTCGGCCCTAACACTTTATCTGGGACACCCTGTATTTCGACGAAACTGCAATTATATTGTCATGCGTATAGACGTATTTTAAAAAATTCTTAAAAATCGTTGCCAAGATTAGTTTAACGCATAAGAATAATTCATCACCTATTGTCCTAACACTCATTCGATTAGTCAGCTTACAATTATTTAATCAAACAAAAATTTGAACGACAGCTGACGAACTATTTTTACTTGCGCATTAAACTAGTCTTATCAAGGATTTTTTTAAAAACGTTTATATTTATTAAGAAAGCTTGTATAATTAAATGAATATTTTTTATTTTTGCTCACTATCGTTTTGTCATCTTACTCCGACACCTTAGAATTCCTCTATTCCTGCTAATTTCTTCAGTAAGTATTGTTCGAGCAAATGAACTGGTAAAGTTACCTGTAAACGTTCTGATTGTTGCTCGAAAGACGCAAATAAACGTTACGACGCTATTAGATATTCGCTCGGAAAAAATATTTAGATAGCGTCGATATCGATTCTTCGTGATAAGGTAAGGCCTAATGGTGTAGGTACAGTGGTCGCAGACGCATACGCACGGAAAGTTCCGCCCCAGCCCTTTCATTTAACCCCTTGCCATATTTTTAAGAGTCTGACTCGCGATAACAATTTCGGACCAAACATGAACAACGCGAGCCTGACTCGTGGAAGGCCAAACGTTTAGCAGGCATCATCTGCCCCTATAGCGCGGCTTGGATTTCCTTCAGGTAATTAGCACGGCAAGGGATTAATTAGTTTAATACGTATAATACGTAATCGTTCAAAAACGGTGTTTTCTCGCTTGCGTTATAAATAGACTGCGGATTTTCATCCAAACTCATATTCTAAGAAACGCAATTAATTGTTTTATGTATTTTTGCAGGTCAGATACAATAGGTGCATTGTCTTACATGCGTCTATAATTGCATAAGAATCCGCAGTCTAGTATTAAGATTACTCTCGAACCTCTTGTCACTCGTCATTGGATAAACGCATCTAATCGCGTTTCATTAAGTTATTTTGGGTTGCAAATTTAATCATTAATTGTAATTTGAATGAGAATTAAAATTCAAACATCAATTCGACTTTCTTCTAATTATGAATTGAAATTTAATCGTTAACTGGTAATGCAACAATTAAGAAATCTGCAACCCCGATTCACATAATCACGATGCCAACTGATTCATCTATCTGGATAAGATGGCAATCCTATTTCTGAATTAGGTAATAAATAATTTCAAATAAAACCAACTACGTGTCCTACTTGCCAATATCCAGGCGAGAATCGATTTGTCAATTGTACTAATGAAAGAACCGTACGAACGTTTTCCGGTATTTAATGTATTCAACGAATGATATATGTATAATGTACGTTTATAAAATAAGTGGTCAATTATTGAATAAAAATTGCAATTAAGTATTTTCTTCGCCTCGCATTCACGATATGGTATAATTGCTTTGATACCCCTCAATCATAATATGTTACACTTATGCTTATTTGTACCTCGAATCACGTTTTCTTAGAAACTCGAAAGCAACCGATTTTTCACAAACCAATAAAAACGTGGCTATCGATTGAAAGACTGCATCTATGCCCATATTTCCGCGTATCAAAATTGATTGTTACAAAGTCATGGATCTTGATAGATTCGCAAAATCGGTGTTAAAAAGAAGGAAGAGAAGCATGGGTCTCAGTACAGCCGGTAGTCACTAACGCTTATAAAAGCGCAATCGATTTCATTTCGTAATTGTCTATGTATTGAGTCCAAGATCCGAAGAGTTACCCGTAGATACATATACATTATATAGTACCTAGTCATTTGACAATCGAACATCATCGTTATATTAAAATTACGTTTGTTAAATTTTTCAAGTTTGGTGTTCGCATCCTGTCTTTTTATTTGTTATCTCCGTTATACCTGCCGTATTACCTTACGTATATCTTGCTTCTCATGAAACGCTGACAATGACGTTCCCGCGAATACAGATGAACGATATCATATGTGAACAAAGTAAAGGAACGAATGAATTAAGAAATCATATAAATGATTAATTAAAGAATAAATAATAACAAGTAATCGTAAATGGAAGTAAATCGTGTGTCATGTACATATGTGCTCACATATGTATTGTAAAGAATAAATAGAAATGTAGAAAATTATGATCATCCTATGTATAATTATTCGACTATTATGTATGTATATATTAATCTAATAATACATATATTTTCATAAAGAAAGAATTTAACATTTGTAAAACCGAAATCATTACTTTCGCTTACATACATTTATATATGTATGTATATAGTTTACGTGGCTTACTATGAATCTTTTGGTACGGTTTGAGCAAGTAATGTTGTGTCGTGAATTACTTGGAAAATTCACTACTTTCCATCAACTTCGAGGAATAAATTA